GACATTTATTTAAATGTTTCAGTACAAGGTAGGTATAAAGACAATTTAACAAAAAATAATATGCAAAAAATTTATTCCACGTGCTTTCCGCTATTTGAAATACAAGTTTGTATACGTTTTACAAATTCGTTCTCGACGTTTTCCATAATTTCGCACGGGATATTTACGCATGCATTGTGTATTCTATTTTTCAAGTCAGTTATATTGTTAAATTGTCTTTATACCTACCTTGTACTGAAACATTTAAACAAATGTCCCAACCTTCCAAATTACAATTAATATCATCTTCGATACGGAAAACTTAAACCGTAATGGACAATACTTTTCACGTTTCTTACTCTTCGGACCTGCCATTTTGACCATACACCCCGCCTATCTGTTTCGGCAGGCAGAGTCAAACCAGCGGCACTTACCGTAACAATAAGAACGTTTTTATGACTTACTCGTCAAACCGAGATGTCACTGCTGAAAATCAGTAAATTTCTAAGCGTTATATCTCGAAAACTAATAAAAATCGGGTAAGTACATAAAACCTTGATGAATTCGTCTTGAAAAGCACTATCGCCTGATCGAGAAAAAAATATAGTTCCATTTAAAAAAACGAAACTTCACCATCATATCTTTTACATTAATAACAATAAAAAAATTTTGCTTCTGCCAAAACATAGGGCCTCTTTTACCCTGCAATTTCCATATAAGCACTTTTTCGTGACATCAATAGTTCATGAGATATTAAGGTGTAACACTTTGGCGCGGACACCCTGTATATTGTGTCGTCTTCCATCGAGTCAAGTTTAAACCTCATTTCAAATCAGTGTTATGTTATTTATACTTCCTTCACTAATTTCATCAATGTCGTACAATATCGTATACACAAATTGATCTCATTCAAATTAATGTCGTACGGTATGAATACATTGATCTCATTCTCATTAACATCAGCATGGTTAAATTGATCTCATTCTCATCAGTGTCGTGTAATATGAATACATTTTCAACGCTAATCGAATCACACGGTTTATACTGGGTCAAGGTATTTATGTTTTAAACAGGTACATAGGTACTTGCATATTTGAGTGCAAGTTGTTTTAAGCTTTCTTCACTTATGTAATTTTGAAATTTTGAACTTTGAAATTCTTAGACATTCACATTTTAAAATTGTAAAGTGTACAAACTTCCAGATTATTAAATTGTTAAATCTTTATATTCTCAACCTTTCAAATTGTCAGATTTTGAAAACTTCCATATTGTCAAATCTTTGAATTTTCAATTTTTCATACTATCAAACTTTTAAATTCCTAAACTCCCAAATTGCTAAATCGTTAAATTTCTAAATTTTGAAATTGACAAACTCTCAGAAGGTTCAATTTTCAAATTCCTATGCCCCAAATTATCAAATCACCAAGTCCCTAAATTACAATAAAATTTTTGCACTTCCATTTCGAGCTTTGGTTTCATATTTCAAGTGTACAAAAGCCGTTCGATAGTCGCTGGTCAATTGTTGTTCGCACGTGTGCATTTGGCAAGCTTCGCGATGCAATTAAGAAGTAATAAGATGAAATTCGAAAGGTGCCACGACGCGTTTCCGCGAAACTTAGGCGAACAGTGCGAGCTTTGGTACCGAAAATAAAGCGAGCAAAGCATTCATGGCCAACCGGAATATTATCAAATGTCCAAGCCGCCAGGAACGACTTTAAAGTTGCGTCTGACTCGTGTTCCACTGTTCTTGATTTATAATCGAAACCTTTCGCTTTATAAAATAACGAAAAGAACTTCCAAACTTTATTTATTACGTCTCGTAGCTGGTGAATACCTTTAATAGTATAATTTATGATACTTCGTATAATACTTCGTGTTATAGCGTAGGCAAGTTCTATTTGGCAGTTTGCGATGATGTATAGGTGCTGAAATATTATATTGTAAAATGGGTTATTTTGGTGAATATTGTAGTTTGTAGTAATGTGTGTAGGTATAATAAGAATTAATTGGAAATCATGTTTATGATGAATGTGATAAAATGTGGTATATGATGAATATTCATATGTGAAGTAATATGTGATCATATATTATATAGTAATATGTAAGAAATATAGTAAAGAGTAATATATAGTTAATGCAATAGAAAGTAATATAAAATAAATATAATATATGGTATAGAAAGATAAATACAATATAAAGTAACGTATAATAAATATAGTAAATGATAACATATGATACATACAGCAAATGTAACATATGATGGATATAATAAAAGGTAACATATGATAAATACAATAGCAAGTAATATATGATAAATATAATATAAAGTAACGTATGATAAATATAGTAAATGATAACGTATGATAAATACAGCATATGTAACATATGATAAATGTAATAATTGGTAACATGTGATAAATACATTAAATGTAACATATGATGGACATAGTAAAAGATCACATACATGCTAAATACAATAGCAAGTTATATATGATATATATAATATAAAGTAACATATGATAAATGTAGTAAATAATAACACATGATAAATACAGCAAATGTAACATATGGCGAATGTATTAAAAGGTAACATAATAAATACAATAGCAAGTGATATATGATAAATACACACATATATAGGAAAGTGATGTGTGATAAATATAATATGTGTTAAAAATTATAAATATGATACAAAGTAACATATTATGAATATAGTAAATAATGACATATGATAAATACAGTAAAAGGTAACATATGATAAATATTTATAGTGAAAGGTAATATATGATAAACATAGTAAAAGTAACATTTGATAGATATAGTAAAAAATAACATATGATAAATACAACAAAAGGTAATACCTCATAAATACAGTAAAAGATGATATATGATAAATATGGTAATAGATAACATACGAAGCATGTGTAATATATGGTAAATATATTAAAATGTAAAATACAATGAATATAATAAAATGTAACATATGATAAATATAATAGAAAGTAATATAAAATAAATATAATACAAAGTAATATTATAAACTATTACTTGTTCTCTTAGATAAAACAATTGTAACAAAGCAAAGTATCAGTATTTTGATCCACTATTAATATGCATGTTCATACACTCAAAAAGTGTCAGTCCAAAAATAGCACATCACTGACTAATTGTAACTTGATGTTCAACTTAACAATATCAATTCTCCCAAAATTATATTCATTAATAATTCACTACTTCTTCACACTGTAAGTTTTTAAATTTTTAAGTACTCGTATTAAAAATTGTATAATACTTTCAGTTATATCATTAATACATAGTCAGAGCACAATATATAAAATGGAAAGATATTTCAGAATCTTGTCTATTAATATTTTTCAAATAAATCTCCAAAGTTTGTCCGCACAAAATTCCATTCAATGCATATCTTGTTTATAATCTTTCTTACAATACTTATCATATTTCAAGCAGAAACTCTCTCCAAATTTTTAACTCTCAAAAACTTTTATACATACAATAAAACAAAATATCGATATTTAATTCTTGAACCAAGTTCCACAAGTACAATGAACGTACAAATATGAATTTAGTTAAATTAAAAATACTTTCAATTAGTTAAGCGAAGATTGTCATTCAGAATTGAATGATCATTTCGCGAAAAATAAACGTGATGTGTCATACCACCCGACGTAGGTGTTATTGATGCACATTGTTCTGCAATGAAGTAAGAGAAGTATTTGTTGCACGAAAGTATTCAAAGACACCTATCAATTTTTCTTTCAGATTCATCAGGTGGCCTGGTATTTGGCATACCGCTATCACAGTGTTTAGAGAACGATAGGATCGCTAGAATCGCTGCTGGTGAGGTATCGGACGTTGGTTGTCTGTCGAGGAGTAGCAGACACGGCAGTCGAACAAGTTTCACGAGCCTCATCGAACCGACTGTGGCAGCTAAAACCGAAGAGGTAAGCACGTCCATCATTTCTTCATGCACCGATCAATTTATTTAGCGAAAATTTTGGTAAAATTGTTGAGAAACAATTTTAATACCATGAGAAGTCGTGTTAGGTTAGGTCGCTGGGACAGAACCTTGTTATGAATTAAATTAATTATTTCGAACAATTTTTTTATTTAATTTTGTTTAATTATTGTTAACTGATTTTGTAGTTTAATTTTATTTAATTATTCTCAACTAATTTTGTAGCTTAATTTTATTTAATTATTGTCAACTAATTTTGTAGCTTAATTTTATTTAATTATTGATAATTAATTTCGTAGTTTAATTTAATTTAATTATTGTAAGTAATTTTTTTAACTTGATTTAATTATCGTAACTAATTTTGTAATTTAATTTAATTATCGTAACTAATTTTGTAATTTAATTTAATTATTGTAATTAATTTCGTAATTTAACTTAATTATTGCAAGTAACTTTGTAACTTAATTTGATTATTGTAAGAAATTTTATAGTTTAATTTAATTGTAATTCTTGTAATTTTTGTATTTATTTTTGGTTTAATATTATATTGTTTATGAAGTGCATGAAACTAACTCAATAATGTCCCAGAAAAAATTGAATAAAATTTACTTGTCTATTTTATTTTTGTAGTTCTTTTAGTACACAATTTTTGTAATTTGAGTTCAGTAAGCATTTTTTTACAACCTGCATGAACTTAACAAGTTTCTACAAAAATAAAATAAAATTTGTTTTCACTCTGACGGTGAAATATTGATAATATTGTCAAAGTATAATATAGACACGAAAGTTTCAGAAATCACCGTAAATTGCAGATAAAATTTCTTTTTTTTTATAAAAAAACAGGTATTCCGAAAATTTCACATCTTACAAATGCATAATTAAACCATTTTATTTAACAAAATTTAAAAAGCTGCAATAAATTCATTTCATATTTTACCACAAATTTTGATAACTCATACGTTATATGAAATTCTGAAATTTACTCTCAAATTCATCGACAAAATTTAAAAAATGCCTCAATTTTCTAAATCGTCTATTTTCCTTTTATTACACGCTGTTTCGTATAAAATGACAGCACTAAAATTATTCTTTTCAAATACGATTATCCTCGCTACAAAAATCGATATTTTAACATATTCATACTTCTGCCGTAAATGTCATGCAGATAATGAAAAATTTCGAATTCCTATTCTACGCAGAAATAAGGTTAGTTCTGCTGCAAGCTGTGAAAAGGTCATCTCAGCGTCGAATGGTTTCCACCATTTTGTTTCCACGTAACTGATCAACGATCAAAATATGCACCATAAATCCCATCGAAAAGTTATTCGTTTGCGAAAAAGAGCTTTAAAAATTATTATACGCATTAATAGTTTAACACTAAACCTACCGACATATAATGTGTACTTAATTTGAAATTAAAAATGAAGTTAAAAAATAAATAAACAAACGACTAAACATAAATTAGTACACGCATTTATTCTTTATTTTGATGAAGATCAATTCTGATTTCAAGAAATGTATTTTTACAAAATGTGTTCCTTGTAATAAGAAGCTTGTGGAGCGGTTATTTGACTGGTTTAGTAGTTTTAGTGTTAAATGCGAGTTCTCAAAATTTTTCTTTAGAGAAAATGTAGAATATGTGAATAATATATTGTATTAATAGTAATTATAATTCGAAGGTAATGAGGTTCATGGGAGTCGAGGTGCATTTGTTCGTTTGTCTACTTCTTTGTCTGCTACAGGTCGCAATTTTGCAATTTGTAATTTTGTAATTTGTAATTTTGCAATTTTGCAATTTTGCAATTGTGCAATTTTGCAATTTCGCAATTTCGCAATTTCGCAATTTCGCAATTTTGCAATTTTGCAATTTGTAATTTTGTAATTTTGTAACTTTGTAATTTTGTAATTTTGCAATTTGTAATTTTGCAATTTGTAATTTTGCACTTTGTAATTTTGCAATTTGTACTTTTGCAATTTTGTAATTTTGTAACTTTGTAATTTTGTAATTTTGCAATTTGTAATTTTGCAATTTGTAATTTTGCAATTTTGTAGACACCTTTTTGCTGTACATAGATTTTGACGACGATGTGACGACAATAACCCGTCGTCATCAACGTCGAATCGATAGAATTCATAAAAAACTGTATGGATACCGTTGTCAATAATTTTTCACAGAATCGAACCACGGTAAACCCCTATAACTCATCATTGACAATACTTGGTCGTCCCTGACGTCAGTCGTCATAAAATCCACAATAATCGTGTTCAGTGTCGTTTTCGTTAATTTCATATACATTTAATAATTTGATCGACTTTAAAATCTCTATATATTTCATATGTATTTGTATATCTGTATCTCATTCTTCTTCTACCTACTTATGTACATACACAGTATGTATCCCGCAACATGTACTACATGTTGCGATCGCGAAGCAAATACAGGGCTAGCCTAATTTATTCATTCGGGTTGAAAAGGCTATATTTTCAGAAGTACTATACGTATACGAAAGACATAAAAAGAACCACAAACCAAGTTTATACAGCCCCTGCAAATATTCAATATGGACACCTTAGGTGACACGATACACATAAAAGATATATGAGAACCACTAACTCATCAAGTTTATACACCTCTGCAAATGTTCAGTATGTACCCCTTTGGTGACACGACACAGCTCCATAACCGAGCTCATTACACACATTTTGTAGCATAGTCCTGTCAATTGTCTTACACTGCAACACAGATGCAGTACCTGACACTGATGCCTAGAACCTAGGTTTTTAAAATTTTTTAGGTCGCATTACGTTTTTGTAAAACAGCAGACTAACGCAACGATGAGCCGTGTCATCTGTGACTAAGTTTCCACCGAGGGTTCAAATCGGGTTAGAGTCGGGTTAGAGTTCAGTTGCCTTGCCTGTTTCCATCAGATCAAAGTTACGTTGGAGTTGCGGCAAGGTTGAGCCAACTGCACAAAGTCAACTACCATATTCTGACATGTAAAGGAGAGCAATATTAATTTTACAATATCAAAATAACATACAAAAATTATTTCTCAGATTACAAGATCACCGACAAAAAGTAATAGTAACCTCTTCTACACCGATTAATACAGCACGTGATACACAATGCAATTTGGATTTGTTATGTTGGCAACATTCAGTTTCCACTGAACTTCAATTGAACGCTACCCTACAATTTTATAGGGTAAAGTTCAACTTCAACTTTGGTGTTTCCATTATAAGAGCGCTCACCTCAACCCGACTCTAACCCGACTCTAACCCGATTTGAACCCTCGGTGGAAACTTAGTCTGTGAGGTTAGTTTTTACAATTTGATTAGGTTGATTTATTTTATTTATTTATTTGTTTTCTTCTAACGAAGAAGGCGTTTAGGAGACATTTCCTCCTAACTTGCCATTGCACAAACCAAACTTAACCTAATATCTTATAGCACGCCATCTATCCATACCTACATACATAAAAACAACCCCATTTTCACCCTCAACCACACTATGATTAGGTTGATGAGAGTGTTATGATATGAGTGAGGTTAGTCAGAGTGCTGAGCGAATGAAGATGGTATGATTGAGATAACGTTTGGGTTGGTATGATTGAAAAACGAGGAGAATCGGGGGAATGGAAAGCTTGAGTGTGTAAAGATGTCCGTTTGTTACGCCGCAGTAAAACGTATTTAAATATTAACACTATGTTTATTAAAAAATATATATACATAAAATATTATAAAAAAAGTCATCAATAATATTTTTCTCCCAAATCATCTTTGTGAAAAAATCCTACATATCTTCCACGTGTGTACATGCAACACTTTCAAAGATATAGCCTTTGAAAACGAATTTTATGCTAGCCCTGTTCATCTTTTTATTTCCTCCTGTGAAATGTTATTAGTGTAAACGGTTACACGATTTACCATAGCTTTCCACTAGGAATGGCGTCATGGATTGCGTCAGAGTGGCGGAGGATCTCGACGAGGGCGTTCATCGATGGCCACTTGCGAGAGCTACGAGCTTCAACGTTCGAGAAACGGGCCGCAAGTGGTTATTTTTTGACGGATACGTCAGTATGACGCCGGCAGAAACAGCACATTCTGTATTCTATCGCTAGACGGCCGACAACTCTATCCTTGCCAAATTCTCTTACCGAATTTAACTAACGTTCGGTGCAATTAAATGCCAATGGGTGCAACGAAGTTATCTAGACGTTATGCGTTACGCGTCTTTAATTTCTTCGATTCGTATGAACTTTTATTATTTTAATTATTTGCGTGTGTGCTGAAGGACAAGTGTGGCTTCTTTAGGGAATATGTGGCGTAGGAAGAGGTTTTTTGGACGTTCATTTTTAGAGAGTTGAGAATTTGAGAATATTTGAATTTTGTGAAGTAGGAATTTGGGGATTTAGGGGGTTTATAGTGTTCGAATTTAGGGAGGAAGAAATTTTGGTATACAGGGACTAGGAATTTAGAGGTTTTTGGATACAGGAATTTGGGGATTTAAGAATTTGGGAAGTGAGGAATTTCTAGAAGTAGGAATTTGGGATTTAAGGATTTTATGGCGCAGGAATTTAGGGAAGAAGAAATTTTGGGACGTAGGGATTTGGAGGTTTAGAAATGTTGAAGGATAGGAATTTGGGGATTTAGGGAATTTATGGAGCAGGAATTTAGGGAATAAGAAATTTCGGGATATTGGATTTTGAGTATTTAGGAATTTGGAGATGTGGTAATTTGTCCTAGGTATTTAGGAACTTAAAGATTTGGTGACATTAGTAGTTGTTGACTTTGAGATTTGTAGATCGATGTATATGGAAATCTAAAAATTTAGGGATAGGGAAATTTGGAAATTTTTATATTTCTATATCTAGGAATTTAAGTATGTGAAAATTTGAAAATTTAAAAACTTGAAAATTGAGAACTTGAAAGTTTAGAAATTTAGAAAATTGGAAACTTGAAAACTAGAGAATTAGGGAATTAGAA